TTGCAAATATGGTGATACAATTCAGATTTCTGTATAATTATGTACCAAGCAAACTGCTATAATGTTTAACGATGGCGACCCGACACATGATCTGGTGGCAGTTGCTCCAGGCTTGATTTCATCTGAGATGTGGGGTTGGGGTTGTATTTGTTGTTGGGTTTTGAGCTGGATCTGTGCTTGGTGTTGGGTTGGGTGCGGTGTAGTTTTCTTAACCGGGCTTGGGAATGGGAGTTTTATTGATACTGAATTGCCGTGTAGTAATTGGAGCCGGAGCAGGTGTCGTTAAAGCACAATTATATATTATATGTACACAAATAATTGCAATTTTACTCCCATAATGCTACAATGCATATGTTTTACGTGTAATTTTACTTTATCACTGGTGTATACTTTGTAAAAGAAACTGCAATTCGGCTCTCGGGCCGCGAATGTTTTTTAATAAAATAAACCATTTTAAATGAATAAAAATATATATGTGATTAACAGCATATCAGAATCAATCTTATATTAAATTTTCGTTTACTTCTGCATTTTTCAAAATGCAATAAGTGAATAACAAAGAACATGAATATAAAAATGCAAACAATAATATCTTCATGTCAAAATATGACTTACATAATTATGTATACATAACAACGAAAATAATATTTTTATAATATGTTATTATAAATTTAAAGTGTTATCCTAACCTTTGTTATGTGTATTTTTTTAAGACCCCCCCCCCCCTCTTTTTTTTTAAATAAAAAAATAATATTAATAAATAAAAAAAAATTAAAACAAAATTGTGGTAATGAGTGACCCCCAAAAACCCCTTACCCCCCCCCCCCCCCAACGAAACGAAATATCGATCGGTCAAATGTTCACATTTTGGGACACACTCAAAAAAAAAATGTGCTCTAACATGACACCTTACATGACAGATTCCTGATAAAACTATCTCTTAACTCACTATGTTTCAAAACCTACAGACTGGTATTTAATAAGTGGAAATTTACGGAAAAGCTCATGAATGATAATGAACAACATGTCAGAATAAATATTCGCGAGTTATATCCTTCTGTAGGTTGAAATTTTAAATCCGTGAAGATGGAAAATGACGGCTATCTATTAAATCTAGTCCCCCATTTTTTCTCTCATCTCTCTCTCTGTCTCTCTTATTCTCTATCTCTCCCTCTTTCTTTCCCCTCTCGCCCCTCTCTCTTTCACTACCCATCCCTCTGACCTGCATGAATGAGAACTGTTAGAGTAGATAAAGATACGGCAACATACATCAGACGGTTCGAGTGTCCAACCTGCTCGTTATCTAGCTCCCTGCTGTGTTCTTTGTCTACATCGAACCACAAAGCACATCCCAAAGACATTTCGTGTTAGTGTCTTGTGTCTCTGTTTAATTTGAAGATTTTTAAAATCTGGTTCAAGTTGATATACGAAAAAAAGTTGAATGACCTGTGATTCTTTTTGCTTTTAATGTACAGTGTAATGCTAAAACATGATACAAGATGTGTTATTATATATACAAATGTATGTATTTATATGTTTGCTATGTTCACATAAAAATGTATGTATCAGTTGATCATCATGTAATAAATTCTAAATAGATTTATCTAGAGGGGCAGAGAGGTTTGTTAAAAAAATGTTTTGCCATGACTTATACAATCACTCAATAAAACAAACCAGCATCATTACACGTATAAGACAATGTTACAGCTTTTAATCTAATCAGTTTCATTTCATGTATCCAGGATAGAGGATAAAGGAGGCGGTGAAGCGTGTGTGCGTGCGTGTGTTTTCATATGTTCGTGAGTGTGGGTTGTCAGCAAATCGGAAACGCTTCATTTTGCCCCCCCCCCCCCTTGCTGTTATATATTCTGCTTACTTGTCGATAAATGAGGTCTGAACACCCCCTCATTACTCGTCTAGGACTTTTAACCATTATTAATCCCTTCTCCCTTCACAAACGGAGACGAGGAGCGGGGGGGGGGGTGGGAGTGGTATTCCACCTCTTAAAATCGTAGCTATTTGCACGCTTCCTCCCGAATAATGGTTATTTTTTTAAATAAATAATAATGAATGGAGGCTTAGGTAACTATCAGTGTGTTGTATGGCATGCATTTCAGCAATATAATTATGTGCAATATTAACTGTCATGATGATTGGCACAGGAGGTTCTTCCATTCATTCGTATTTTGATATTGCATGTACTTTTATCCTTCCTCTCACTCTCTCATTCCTTTCCTCTATTTTGATCTTGCTACTTTTCAAATTTCCTTTTCTCTTCTTCAGTACTAGCCTTTCCTCTCTATTTCTATTTCACTCCCATCTCTCAGCTCTCTGTCTGTCTCTCTCTGCTCTCTCTGCCTCTTTATCTTCTGATGATGTTTTACAGTACAACATTCTTTCTCCCTAGGTCTCTCCCGCCTCCACTCTGTTTCTCTCTCTCACTTTCAGTCTCTCCCTCCTCCTCTCCACCTTTTTATCTTCTGATGATGTTTTACAGTACAACATTCTTTAATTATCTACTATTCTTACTGTGACCTATAATACCTAAGGACTTCCATTTTTTTCATCTTCAATATGTTTATACGTGTACTGTACTCATGTCACACTTGTGACTAGCACACTGCCAAAATTCCAATTGTAATATTTTTAATACTTATTAATACTTTTTAATATTCATTATACCTACTGAATTTAATATGTTTATCGCAGTTTTTCCTATGGGACAGTTAATTAATTTCACGTATCTGGATACATTTGATATGTTTTCATGTAAACATTTATTAATTTTTGCTATCAATATTTTATAGCTTGTATTTTTTGTATCTTTCTTTTTATTTGGCTTCTTGTTACTGCCTTGATATTTTGATGTAAACATTTATTCATTTTTATATATTTGTTCTCATTTGCTATGTTTTCTTTATAGGCTATATATATATATATATATATATAGGCGTGAAGAAAATGGTCTAGGAACGTGAGACGTTGCTGTACTTTACAAGTTTATTACGAGCTTTCGGCTTGTGAGGCCTTCTTCAGGCTCTGAGGTACAAACACAAACAAAAACAAATACATTGTATGAACAAATGTTTTGGAATGATTTTTTATATGATTGTATGTTTGATGTAAATTTGCATTTTTAGTCTTTGGACTTTTTGGCAAGTCTTGAATAAAACCTCATTTTCTGTCATTTACATTCTCTTAATTACAGAATAAGATGTCGCGTAATTCCACATATGATAAACAATTTAAACAGAAATATTTAATGCATTATTATCCTCCATCATGCTTCGTTCAAATTGTGAATTTGGGCTTTTAAAATTGCATACACTTTAATTTCAATTGAAAGATAAAAGGATATTAAGATGGACGATTTTGGTGACAATTAAAGGTATTGGTATTACCAAATTACACTAATACCCTGTGATACTACTTTGTGTTTTTTTACCGCTTCATCTATTTGAAATCAATTGAACATAGAATTGTAAAAAAAAAAAAAAAAAATCCCAATGTTGTTAAATACTCTAACTACATATACAAATTTATATAATTTATACAATCATTAACGTCACTACTGTCATCATAACATTTTCATTTACTTTCCTCTTCAAAAATTACAGACAAAGATGAGTCCTGGTGATGTGATTGCATTGGAACTGTCTGAAAGCGATTGACAAATGTTGATCATGTAGCACATCAGTATTGATGTGCAGTGTGAAGCTTTGGAATCACCCATGGATAAGAGAATGACCCAGTCTTGCTAAAAGGCACATGCACCGTACACCGATATAAGTATTATGGGACCAGACAAACATGTGGCATGAAAGAATGGTCCCAAAAATCTAACTAATACTTGTCATATTTTGAATATGAGAGTATTTGAAGGGCCATCCTTTTCAGTGGACATTTTCTATATGATACTTTTCCACACTAACAACAAAATAATGCGAAAGCTCACAAATAATGTTCCACCTTTTAAAGGCCCACTGCACTACTTGTAGCTACTTGCGCCCTCTACATAACAAACAATGCCTAATCGGTGACCATTGGTCCCCCATGATCCTCTTTTTCTTATGTTAACTGAGAGCTGGGTTAATGAGATAACCACCTGTCCAGTGACCTTGCAGCGCAGTCTAATCCCTCCTGTAAACTACGACAGATAAGCTTTAAAGAACTTTAACTCCTTGATTAACCCGTTCGGGAAGGGATAAACCTTCGGTCTACATAACATATTAATTATAATAATAATAATCACAATGCATACCATGTGGATTGTTCAAAGGTATTCATTGGTTTTTCTTTCTTCCATTTATCTAATCGTTTGTTTGTTATTTTATTTTACTTCTGTTATAATCTACACAATAACAAGTAATACACAAACAAGGTTCATATATGTTATTTTAAAAAGTCAAAATACATAATATATTCATATATATTAATATAAATCCAATAAATAATTATAAGATAAAAAACTGTACCTGACAAATTATTTCAAAATTGAAAATGGAAGGAAACCGAGATCTTAAGCTGTAGCTTGAACGTGTTGGCGGTCTCGGGAAAGGAATCTTTATAGGCGACCGAATATATAATCATAAATTAATGAATTATATCAGTAACATTATGAAAAAAGTAATTATTTCAAAAAGCATAAAAATGAAAAAGGGGTCCTGATTTTGCAAGAAAGGATGATCTGATATAAACGCAAATATCCTTTTGTTTACAATATTTTAATGGAATTAGCTTTGTCTACGCACAATTTTTTTTTAAATATTTGTTTTGCATGGATCGGATTTCTCATACTTCTCTTAGCTACCTTTTGCAAAGATCAGATATTTCTGCCCTCAGATGACGTCATACATTCGCGTTAAAGATGAAAATCTGCCCGCACTTACATTTGCCAAAATCTATATAAAATCTCTCCCTCTCACTCTCTCTCTCTCTCTCTCTCTCTCTCTCTCTCTCTCTATATATATATATATATGTACTTCTGTTTAATTCATTATATCTTTTAAATAAGTCCTTTAGTCACCAAATATATTTTCATATTCGCATAGAGCATGAGTTATGGGTACGATTCATGTCTCTTATGAAGATACAAGCCATATAAGCCACATTGATGTCGTCGTGCTATCGTTTCGTCTTTCAATAGAAGAATATTACAATCAATTTGGAAAGTATAGCCATGCAATATTTTCCTTTTTGCTATAGGTGTTATTGTTTTATGAAGTACCATGAATATTCATGTAGACTGTGCACATGTGTGCTTCGGTAATGTACCGTATATATATATATATATATATATATCCGCATCCTTTTAGAATAGTTAGAAATGAAATGAAAACGATACGATCATATAAACCCATGATGTGGCAGTCACCAGCAGAAGTATGAAAAATATCAGTTTATCGATAACGATAGCAGTATCGCGCCATGTTTGTCCAATCATTTCCGGGTCAATTTCTTTATGGTAATCATGGCTGGTGTTCGGGTGAAGGTGGCGTACGTTGTTAGCGTGGCTGACAAGGAGCGAATTGCTAGCAGGATCTGCTCCCTCAGCTTCCCGTGCAGTTTCAAGGGATGGCCCGTTGAAGTTGCGAGGAGGAGGTTCTCTGGTTTTGTCTGACGGAATATCGACACGCTTCGATCTTCGACGTTTTCTAACGAAAGATAAGTTTTAAAATAGGGTTAAATTCCAACATTAATAAAGATTAAATTTGGGGAAAGCCTGATACCCACAGATCTGATCACTTTCAGGAGCATCCCTATATCAACGTGAAAGGTGGTGTCAAATGTTTGTCGAAATGATTAGGAACAGGAAAGGAATTTTACCTAAAAAAAGTTGAACATAGTCGCTATATTTCCAGATTATGTTTAAGTACTGACAAACTACCACCACCAACAACAGCAGCAATAAATTTCTTCTTTGCCATCCTATACTTTATATTTATTTTACATTAACGAAGGACATGAATGTTTTCAAATGTGGATAGGACTGTTGGAACTTACATATAACACCATGTGTTTTTAACATAAGAATAAGAAGTTGAAACATAAGTCATGCTTGTTTCCAACTCCAATACCAAATAAATAATTAGAGAATACTAATGTTTGTATAATGCACTGAATGATTATTTCAGAAATATTTTTCCACAACGGAGACATTATTCCAAAATTTAAAAACAAATTTATTAGAGTTTCAGGGTCATTTGTAAAGAAGTAGCATAAAGGCGTATCGCTTTTGCAAATTTTACACAAAAAGAGGTTTAGGGTAATAGCATTGTGAAACCATTTTTGTTTTGTTTTTATCTGTGAATAACTTTGAATAGCTAAGCATAAATTAATATATCCAACTTCTGACACGACATGAGTAAAAAGAAATACACACTTTAAAAGACAGTCGCCAAGACTTTCGAGAAGTCAACTCAAGGGTAATTTTAACAATCGTTTTGTTTTATTTCCGATATAAATCGTGTTCTGATTATTTATTGTAATGTTAACATATTTTAGGAGCTGATACAATTAAAATTTCATCGAGGTTGATTGTTGCGCTCATATCTTACTAACTTATAATTCGTTTGTTGTGCTCTAAAGACCTCTTTACTCTCCTGACTGTTGTAGAGAGGAAGGATGAATGGACAGAGCATCACTCTTCGAAGCAACCACGGGACCTCGGTCTGTCCTCCCATGTGGTAGATCCGAAGAACAAAGATGGCACAGAGGACCTCTGCACAGCACATGGCGATCATTACTATAAAGAAACTTACTGTCAAAATAGGGAAGAAGGTTTAAAAAAGGTTATTTAATTTCCGTAAGGGTGACAAATACTCAGTGAGTTTTTGCATTCTTTTATGTCTTTCTGGAAGAAAATTATACAAGTAATGTGCCCTAAAGATAAAGGATTACTCTTGAAATGCTATTACTATATTCGAAATGTGACAAGAAATAGCTGACAAATTTGGGCCATATAATCTCAGGGATGTTTGTAGTCCCATACATATATTTGTGTGTGGATTACATGAAACTTTAGGCAATATTGAGTCAATAATCTATCATGTTGATGATTCCTCATATTATACAAAAACTTTAGTGTCATATACTTAGTAATCCATTGTTTTATTTTCCATCCACACAATCTTTCACAATGTAATTGAGACACGACGTGTCAGCTGTTTTGTTTCGTATATCACAAATAACCGATAAGAGCGTTTTACAGTGTATGTTATTACTACCCTGGTCAATTGATACATTGAAGCATTAAACTAATTTTGTGTCCCAATAATACATTATTACCTATAATAGACGTTGTCTCTCCACTAGGTGGCATCCTATCTGCCACAAGCTGCTGGAAGAGGATCAACGCCAGAAGGTTACTGACCGCCAAGGTCACCTTCTCACCAGACGCTGGGTGTAGCCAACAGACGACCGCCATTAACAGGGTCAGAAGGAAGGCCGGCACGACGACGGTCTTGGTGTAGAACTTCGACATGCGACGGATGGTGATGTTGTACTCGATTATAGACCAGGTCCTGTTGTCACAGCAGAGGACCGCGTCCTTGTTGATTCCGCCAGACCGTTCCAAGATCCAGACCCCGTTCCTGTTGAAGATATCGATTGTGGTGTCACCTTGTTTAGAGAGCTGGAAATGCACCTGTTCCATGCAAAGGACATTAAGAAGACAACATGAATAGCTGATTGATTGATGATATATCTGTATTAATCTAATTGCTTATACCTCAGCCACATTATAGCGAGGATAACACCAGACAGACAACAAACTGAACCAGAAGTACTTTTCCTGTCACAGATTTGTCTTCACTCTAGCGTTAGACCGCTCTTACGGGGTGTGTGTGTTATTGCGATAAAATTGATCATTTTACCCTTAATGGACGAAACTCGAACAATTTGGAGTTGGTTTGGCGATATGACTCAGTGATGAGAAAGAAAGTTTTAGCTTGTAGGTAACCAACTAGGAGGACATACGCCTTTAATCCTACGCGAATTAAGGACTACCGTAAGGAGGATGAACGCCTTTAAATATTATACCTCACGAAATAACATCAGGAATTTGGGAAGACGTGCCGAAGCATACTAAAGACTGTTTCTAGTTGACTCATCTGGTTATTAAAACCAAGATTATTTTCTAGATCCATCACGTCAGGCCTTGTTGTAGGTTCACATCTAACAAAAATAAAACTAAGGCAAACAATAAGACATGACAAAAGTGGTCATGTAAACTTACTTGCGTTAGTTGAAATACGAGTACCCGGCAAAGTCTCACCAAACATAATATCATTGGTAAATTATCGATGACGTTAAATAGTAGAAAATGGGGAAAGGGGAATTGCCCACTATGTTTCTATCCAAAACATGATGGTTTTGTTTAACTGAATATTTTTCATTTTATGTAATCAATGGATTTTACGGTTGCCCATTAAGTTTGGATACATATTATGTTACCTCTTTTCATGAGATGATATGAAAACATAATTTATTCTTGACAGTTAAAATTCAAGGATTCTCAGAACCGCATTGATCCGTCTAAACATTCATAGAGATTGACCAGTGTAGCTTTGAGAAGATATAACCTTCATCAATCAATAACACATCATATAATCAATATCTTTCATGAAAAGAGGTAAAATTAAATTAATTCCAACTTTACTGGCAACAGTTTACTCATTAAAGATATATTTGTGTTCTGGTTATGCGATTGCTTTGTGAAAGAAACGTTGCGGATTCGATCAGAACAGGTTGGTCATCTAGCATATAAGTATTGGTGTATACTGCAAGGTTCTGGAATCATCAAAATGATTAAGAAATTAGGCCCAGTCTTGGTAAAGCTACAAGTACTGTACACAGAAAAATGTATATGGGACTACTCAAACATGTGGTATAAAAATCAGTCCCGATTTGTATGATGTTACATGCCATATTTAGAATATTAAGGCATTTGAAAAGCCATGCTTTTCAGAAAACATTTTCTATCTGATGTTCTTCCACACTTGCATTATACAATGATAACGCTCACAAATAATGTTTCACCTCTTTCCAGAACTCAACCTTCTCTTTAAACGTGGAAATAAATTGAGTGTTAATAATAAAATCACATCACCTGAATAAAATGCTTTATTTACCATGCTTTTCATGTACGCCCAGGGACCGATGGAGATCTTGCAATCTTGAACGTCGTAAGGGAAATAGGTAATATCGATTGGACATACTGACGTCACAAAGGCGGGAAAGTACCAGTCCATGGACCCGTTATACGAGACCAGTATGAAGGTCTCCTGTATACTGATAAAGTCTTTCTGGGCACTGAATTCAAAGTCACAAAGTAGAAATGTAAAAGAAAGTACGTTAAGAATACTATATAAAGGCTCTTTATACTTTGACATTTTAAAGGGACTTGGTAGCATTGTCCAGATGAGAGAAAATGGTGCCAATTAAGGTAGTGATTTCAATGCTAAAGTACAATTAAAGATCCTCTGAAAGTTTGAGTGAAAACAAACCTTTATTAATGATAACAAAATGGTAAAATTGATTCGATCTATTCCGTAACTCTCCCAACTGTATTATTACAATTTTATTACATTTTAGGTGAATGAAAATCGTCACAAAGCAATGAATTGGCTTTATATACCACTCCAGACATGTATAAGTGTTGAAACATTTTTAAAAGCCTGTCTTATGTCTTATTTTCAAGAAAAAACGGTTGGGAAATTAAGAAATGGTTGGGAATTTACTGCTAAAGGGTGTTGCACGTTGACACTTTCGAAAAAACACATAAATATCTTTATGGTTTGAGAATTTTTCAGGATTTGATTGTATGTAAGAGGGTTAGTACAGTAGAAAGAATATAAAAAGTAACATTTCATACAAAAATTACGCAGTTTTGTCAGTCATCAACCTTCAACATAGTTACCGAGTCACTTTAAACAAGGCACGACATTGCCGAACAGCGATGTTGGTATAATACAATTATTATTGTTTCTCCTCGTTTTTCATTTAATTTTCTTATTACGCAAGCTGAATTTCAAATGGGTGTTCTTCGAGTTCATCTTAATGATTTTGTCGTTAGTCAACAACCAACCATGACATTTGGCTATCAGTATGTATTATACAATTGGGTCCTTGGAGTCGGAAGTTAGGTACTTTTAATATAGAACCCAATGTGTGCCATCATTAGCGGGGTAGAATTAAATACCCCCCCCCCCTCACCCCCACCCCCCCCCCCCCTTACGCACACCTCTAATAACACCAACAAAATCCGGGCACCGAGAAATTTTGATTGAAAAGTAAAACTAATTATTTTAACAATAGTAATAATAAGAAGAATGATGATAATAATATCGATTATTTTTATAGGGCACATATCTACAACGCAAGTGCTCGTGGCGTTCCAATATATTACCCCGGTTCTAGCCAGGCTATCAATTCCTGTGCTCATATCCATGCTGCATCGACTTGAATGCGGATAATGAACCCATTCGCATGTATCATTAGTATATTGATATAGTTTTCTTACTTTTCGTAGAGTGATATATCAGGGCGCCATACGTCACTTGGTCTGAGAGTGGTAATGTTGACTCCTCCGTAATCGTTTGGGTCCCACGTCAAGTTCTCATCAATCCACATCTAAGGGAAATTGGGTGGAATGTTAATAACTGCGCATGGCGGTGATGTACACGTAGATGATTTGCGGGAGGGGGACCCCAATTTGCGAAATGAAATATCTCGAGGCATTCCCTATTAAATCCCCAGAAATACATACAAATCTGCTTTTCCTATTTGTTCAAGCGTAAATACCGAAGAAATAATATGGACATTATTTCATGGGACGTGTCGTGGTATATTGGTTCATTCGCTTGACTATCAGTCCAAGGGTTGGGGATCGAATCCCCGCCCGTCACATTAAACCGCATTTGCCAATAATTGCAAGGCCCTCAAAAAGAATACCATTCATCGTCGATGGTGATGAGACTTCCATGGGTCAGCACAATTATTATTTTGTAATCGTTAGTATTGAATAAATTTCTATTTCTTAAAAAGTGTACCGTATAGTTCGTTAACATTTAAAGGTAAAGACCAATTCTTGTCTTGCGATTGCATTGTGAAAGAAACGTTGTGGAATCGATCTCGAAGGTTGATCATCTAGCATATAAGTATTGGTGTGTACTGCAAGGTTCTGGAATCATCAAATTGATAAGAAATAAGCACTGTACACAGAAAGATGTATATGGGACTACGCGATATCTATCCAGGCCGGATCGATATGATAATTTCCCAAATATATCAATTAGTAGCAAAATGTGTATCTTCACGTATTAGTCAAAACATATTCTTTCACGTGATTCGTAATAAGAGCTTCCATTTTTTTTCTTTTTTGAGAGGGGGGCATTTTCAAAACTGGCCTTTACCTTTAATTTAAATGGTTTATAATTATATCGAAAGTGCCAGCAGACCTATTCTTCTGCAACATACCTTAATCTGTTTTAGTTTGTTGGATTTCCTCTCTAAAGATGATTTGCATGGGGTTATCTCACGGTGGCATTCAGGTAGTAAGCTTATAATGATGACATGCAACATAATCATTTTCTTTCACCAAGCACAAATATGATGTATTTCTAAATTTCGAGAAATTGTGAAATAATACGATCTCAAGTACTTGACACAATTTCAATTGCCATGTGCGTCATCAAATTGAAAAGAGCGAACACGACAATTACGTTTTACATAATTTATGGGATACACAATAGGGTATTGATTTGTGTACTTGAACTGATTGTTTTTTTCGGAAATAGAGGCGATCGTGTAAAAAACAATAATAATCAATCAAATATACAATATGATGAACCCACAACAACGCTTTTTAGAAAATCCCACCTGTTCTGCTTCGTATTCAAACGTAAATATTGATTTCATATTCATTTGATGCAGGAAGAAAATGAACGTGTTTTTCAAATCTGGAATTCGAACCACATATTATCTTTGATAGTTTAATCACATTAGGCTGATTGAAATATCAGTTCTTCTTTTGCAAGTAGATTGAAAATGGTTATATATAAATGAAAACAAATTAGGATCGTACCATTCGCATGAAGTTGAGTAGCATAATCTGTTGATGTGCCTCATCCTGCAGTGAAAAAGAAGGAGAAGAAGAAGAAGAAGAAGAAGAAGAAGAAGAAGAGATATAGATAGAGAGAGAGAGGGAGAGAGAGAGAGACCAACATGAAAGGAGAGAGGATGGGGGAAACGTAGAGAAAAAGGCATACATATATATATATATATATATATATATATATATATATATATATATACATGTACATAGAGAGATAGAGAGAGAGAGAGAGAGAGAGAGAGAGAGATATTGTGACTAACTCAATTTGATCAATATGAATTTCGAAGGCAAATAATCAGTACCCAATATTTAAACAAAATGTCTTTAATGGATTTTACCGTAATAGCCACCGTGGGAACAAACGTCTAAAGCTCAAAATGTTATTTTTCTCTGACCAAATTTACAACATAACGATGCCATAATAACAGATTATTCTACCACATACTTTGCTCAACTATCAAATCCCTTTTGTGTGTATTCGTATATGCATTTATTCCCTGATCTTACCCCTTCTTATTAGCATTGCCTTATTACTGTAATTGATATACTTTGGTTATAATTTGGTATTAATTCAAGTGTAAATTTTATTGCAATTCAGACTTAGTATTGCAAAAGTGTTTTCATAATGAAATTCAATTCAAATATTTCCAATATTTTCTACCAATGACATAAAATGAACCATTCAGCATGCCAAATTCGTAATAGTAATGGCTTTAATGTTAATTTCAATAGTATATTTTAGAATATTTCAGTTAAGATTGTCATTGCTTATTAATCGAACTTAATGATAGTTGCCATTATCATTGTCATTTGATCATTTTTATTTGAATTTCAATGTTGATTGTCTAGACTGTTTTAATAATTTTTGTATAATTGCTTTTATCATGTATATGCATTGTAAACTGTTGTAACTACTGCAATTCCATCTTTGGACTGCGAGAATGAATAATTATCAATAAAATTCTTCAATTAATCATTATAATAAATACCATTTGAACTCAATTCAATAATCAAGACCTGAAAATCAGTTTGCTACAGCACGCTCCCTCCTCCCCATTGACCCAACCCCCCTCCAAGAGTGCCCTTAATAAACTCACGAAGCCAATGAGTTCCTTTGGGAGCAGCCTGAAGAACACTTCTGAGACGGTGGATGAGTTCTTGACAGGTCTCACCGAGGTCGGACCGTAGTTCGCCAGCAGGTCGGAGACAAGCTGCTTTTCAGGTCGGCCTTCGAACGTCGATGTCGCTATTGTGATGTGAGGATGAGACAACATTTATATTCAGTTATAATTCTTGAATACTTCAGGAAGTTAAACTCTTTACCAACTTCACAATTCTCAATACTGTAATAATAATAATAATAATATTGGATATTCATATAGCGCACATATTCATCATGCATGGTGCTCATTCATGGTGCTAGGCAGCTGATTTCGGCGCTCACCGCATTCAAGGAATTCCTTTCTACCGGTACTCATTTAACACCTGGGTGGAGAGTGGCAAATATAAATGAATATCTTGCTAAAGGACAATAATGTCGTGGCAGGACTCGAACCGCGGACTTAGCCACTAAACCACAACACCTCTACTATGACTCATACAACTTTCAAGTAAAGCCATGACACACCGACTGAATCTCTCTGTACCCATGAAAGTAAAATCAGCACAATACCCAATACGAATCACTGTGGTGCAAACCGCGAGAGAGTTAGAGAGACACTGGAAAAACGAGAGAGAGGAAGAGAGGGAGAGAGAGAGAAAGGGAGAGAGAGAGAGAGAGAGAGTGGGGGGGGGGGAGGACACACACGCACAATAACGGTAGCAGTGATAATACTATAGCAATGACATAAAGCAAGTGATAATGATAACTTTCCCATAATTATAACGCGAACGATGTTTTTGGATTGAAAAAGGGTGTGAAGCCTCCGGAGGGGAAAAAACGGATTCAGTGTCCCTATTAATTTTTCTGAAATTTAGGTAGATGCCTAAACCCGAAAGCTGCCAAAACCTTGTAAACTAGTGTTGCAGTAGTAGTAAAACTGTGTATTCGCTAAACGCCGTTATAGTAATGTTCAGATAATACAGCATGTATGTTTTGTTCTAATGTTCTGAAGTCCATTCATCACAGTCTTCTGTTTTGGCACTTCATCACATGAGAAACATTGTTTGGCTTTGAGTGTGATACAAGAATATATTGCTCGAGCTATGACAATTTTGGACGAGTCAAAGACGAGTCTAATATTGTCTTAGCTAGAGCAATATATTTTTGTATCACACGACAAATAAAGCTATACAATATTATTTTAATTATTTATATTAGTCTGACTAGCGAAATAACAACATTTGACTAACCTCGGTAAACATAGCTTTATTTTCGTGTGATATCGCTATGATATCGACATCGATAGTTGAAGTTCCAGGATAACTGAGCAATACGAAAACAATATTGGTCAGTCATCCGGGTACTGCGCTAAAGATATTGAATACACTGATTTATTGTACCACTTGGAAGCCTTATATATAGATGATAATCAGTTTTCTTTTTCGTTTGGTAATATCAAATTTGACATTTAAAGGGTTAGCACAGAAAATATAATACCCAGGCTACTTATCCCACCATGCGAAGGGGCCATTTGATTTACCATGCATGACAATCGTTCGAACGAATTAAGGTTCTGATTGAGCGTCTATATAGATTCAGGAGCTCAATGCCCTAATGAAAGTAAAAAAGGTTAATACGGATCTAAAAATAACTGTCCCCGTTTCACTGATGCAGGTCACCTTCTTTCTCAACCCCCACTTTCCCTTGCTTCCCCTTCTCTTTTTGCTACATTTTTGTGTTATTGTAATTTTGTTTTATTCCTCCAAATGTGTAATACAAACAACATACAATTGAATAAAATAAACGTTTTCAATATTGATTGCTTATACATAAACATAATTAAACAAAACTTCATTTGCAGTATATATATCTTAGCAATAAAGTAAATTTATAGGTACCTATATGTCAATTGTAAATGTTATTCATTTATACTCTTTTTCTTAAAGCTAGACACACTTTTTTGTGTAAGTAATTTTGTTTTATTCCTCCAATTGTGTAATACAAACATACAATTGAATAAAATATATAAGCGTTTTTAATATTCGTTGCTTTAACATAAACATACTTAAACAAAAATTCATATGCAGTATATATAACTGAGCAAAAAATGAAAGTAAACTTTAAGTACATAAGTTATAAGTCAATTGTACATATTATTCACTTATAATAACAACAAAAAATATTATTTTAAAAACTGGAGGTTATTTTACTGGTACTCCCAGACCCCCTCCCTCACACGCACGCACACGCGCGTGCACGCGCACACACACACACACACACACACGCAAACACGCACTCCCTCCCTCCGTCTCTCTCTCTCTCTCTCTCTCCCTCTCACACATACACACACATACCCTTTCTCAGAAACGAACTCCCATTCTCTCTCTCCCTTTCCCCTCCCTGTCTGTTTGTCTCTCTTCCACATACAAACATACACACTAACAAAAAAGAGTCTTCCCCCCCCCCTCTCTCTCTCTCTCTCTCTCTCTCTCTCTCTCTCTCTCACGCGCACCCACGCACTCGCCACACACTCCCTCTCTCTCTCTCTCTCTCTCTTTATGTCGCTCTCTCGAACTGACTCTGCTAGATGTATTCTTGATAGATTTCTAGAGCTTTAGTAATCAATCTCTATGACTTATTAGATTATACAAGTTCTGACAGATAAAAACTCCATAAATCAAAGAATAAATCATAATGTCACAATCATTTCACAGAGAGAGGTCGAAGAAAAATTATACCCACTTCATAAAGTTCATTGGCAACAGTATTTGCATGTATTAAAGCCTCACACGCAAAACTGATATTTGATTCATTTTCGTATCAGAAATGTTGTTTGACTTTTCGCAACTTATTTGCGATTGATAGCAATCGCAACTATGTACATATTAAAGGGATATGAGACTGTCAACTTGAGATTGATTAGAGGATTTCCGATTGATTTGGAACCGTTGCAGCATCTTTGTAAGACAGGGTCCTGATTTTATCAAACTTCCATTATTGTATTTTGATGACCGAGTGTGCCTTCCCTCTGTTCATCGAGATTGCTATCTCAAGATATAAAAGACACATACAAATTGGTTCAGGGTAATGTTTAAATCATTCTGGTATTCGTCCGGTAACGGATCTAATGAATCACTTGGAGTGGTCTCCAATTTGACGACGGACAGGTCTTATGTATGCACTGCACTCTCCGCCAACGGAGCTGGAGGGAATACTAATCATTCGATCTCGCGAAACGTTATGTCATTTTTCAGAAAACCTGTAAGACCAAGCAGAAAGCAAAAGCGTCTATGTTGCGTTAATTATTTCATTTGGATATCAAATGTTATCTAAAATCTGTTTACCTTTTCCATTATTGAATAAAAACCACAAAGAACATACATGTAGAAATGTAAAATCAATTCGCATATCAGAATTGCTAATAAAGTTGATTTCTTTGGTTTGACATTTAAAAATATATCTTATCCTACAACCACCAGAAACAATATTGTTTAAATATATACCCGTCAATACAAAAAGCAACGCATGTATTAATTTATAATTAGTTTTTTTTAAATGGTGAAACGGGTCTTACTGTCAAATGTGACAGGGGCTTTACTGTGAAACTATCATAGGTGTAGTGTTTCATTAGGCATGAATCTGTCTGGATGCAAATATGTCGATCCAAGGGACACAAAAGGGGTGCCAGAAGTAATGTTTCAAACTAAATCACAGTACTTATACTGCCCTTTTATAGCCCTACATTATAGACACTATACATTTTCACATTTAATGAACAATTTGTTTGCATCCACAACTGTTCGATTTTTCTTTTGTCTTGCAATCTTAGCAACTTGAAGTCATCCCAAAGACAACCAATGTCATACTGCCTAGATGTCAATCCAGTTGTGGCGTTGCCAGGGGCACTCTTTTTTTACATAAGGTTATTTTTTAGGAAAAAATAATAATGAATACCCAAATTGTGTATACGGTGCGTGCATTGCTCTAAAAATTAACGGAGGTTCCTATTAATCTCCGGAAGTGCAGTGCATTACTCCGAGTGGGTGGTCATGAGAAAAAAAAATCCCATTTTCATTTCTGAATAATGTTTTCTTATCGGAATTACATCTTATTCTCTTGTAGTTCGCAAACCAGCTTTTAACCTAGTTTATATTATCATCATTATTACATTTTATTTCCCTCTGGGGGGGGGGGGGGAGGGGGGCACCGTGGCCATTTGCTTTCACCGTGATTTTGCCTACGCAGAAAGTGGTGACATAATGCAAATGCCTTATTTGCCCTTCTTTTCTAAAATTGGTTGGCTTTCGATCGCACTAGCACAACTTGACTATCCAAATTAATCTAGTTAGTCGTTGAATTTCATTGCAATGAGGTAAAAAGAAAACAGACTCAAAAGCGATGCTGGCTATCTACTTTGTCCTTTGACAAAAATATCCTCTTCAGAGGTTTTTCATTCAATAGTATTACAATTCCGAATTTGGAAAATGAAGCCCCATGTAATAAGTAATTACACATGCATCGTTAGAGAGAGAGAGGTGAGGGAGTAACATCATGTATACTAAATAATTTGATAACCATCCTACCCTCGAATTTGACGAATAATCTTACCATCAAAAGAGCGACCCCTTATTTGTCTGCCACTGAATATTCTTTAATCTATTTAGGAATTTTCTAGGGACTTGTTTGTTATGTTATAACAATCCCATTTCTCATTTACATGAATATGGTATTTATTTTTTGCTTAAAACAACAAACAAAACAACACTTGCATCATACCACGCCCCTGGTGGTGATTCTATGGTGATTCAAATCACAGACAATCATGCCACATTCATCTCCATATCAAGCAGTGTCTTCAGGTCTTATGCCTTAATTTCGCATTCTAAACACATCTTGGGAGTTTGAATCTCAATTTTGCTTCCAAATTGTCCAACCAGGATGTGTTATTTATATATATCTTGCAAGAACTCATGATATTCGTGCATTTTACACTTCAGCGATTCTGTGGACCTCATCGTTCCGAGAATTCTCCTACACTTTTCTTTAAAATACAAACATAAATGCTGCATTTATCCATCACTTTTTATTCAAGATTAAGAATGTTGGGTAAATATAAAAATGTCATACATTTTATAACGTGGGAA